AGCTGATTGCAGTACTTCTGATTCTAACGTGACGATCACTGCATAAAATTGAGTTTTGTCAGCAGTAATGCAACTCAATTTAAACTGCGCATCCAACTGAATAAACCATAATGATGGGTCTCGGCGACAAAAAGTGCTTAACTGCCACTCGTGTCAACTGTGAAGCAGCATCGTTGTCAACCATTTTAGATCAATCAAATATGCATAATATGTATAGAATATGCACAATAATAATATAGAAATAACATAGAAAATAACATAGAAATTTCTTTTCAAACAATTCCTTTTATATCCTAAAAAAAATCTGGAAGATTTCTTTGAAAAATGAGGGTCTTAAAAAACTAAACATGGCTAAAGTATATGGACTGGTTTGTGTTGAGCTGCCATCTACTAAAAATAAAGAAGGTTCAGAGTAACCTATAAATCCTTTTTCATTCAATTTTTCTGTGCGTACAGAAGGAAATTTTTAGGTGTGTCTAGACCAGACATACTGTGCCGCAAAGGGTTAATAGGTTTCATCATTCTACCCATTGCTTTACACAAATTTATCGTCCTCTATTTAATGTTATTCATATTTTAGTCAAATATTTTATTTTTGAAATCACATGAATCAAATACTATAAAATTATAAAAAATTTAAATTAAAAAATACTAAATTTTATGCAAAAAAAATTATTTTTTTCTTCTTAATCGCTTGCTTTTCATTTTCAGGCATTCTGCAAGTATATTAAAAAGCATCCAACGTTTTGAAACATCTTGGTATTTCTGACATTAATTTTAAATACATTTATCACCTTCCATTTCAAAGGGGCCCACAAAGGGTTGAGCGGTAAAATCACTGAATACTGGTAGTTCGCTCCGGGGTTCGAATCCCAGAGAACGAGATGGTTGCATGGGTGTTTTCATGGTTTTTCTCATGTGTAATGTGTATACAAGCTGGTTTTGCTTAGAAAGTTCTTCACAAGGGCATCCCTTCTTTTACGCAGATAGCTTGGCTTTGCCGTAACCTTATAATCTGAATAAATCCATTTCATCAGTACAGTCAAAAGTCTTTAATCCAGACTCGTCGGGACTTTGGCGATTCCGGATTATCGGTTTTTCCAGATTATAGATCATCGGTTTGAATCTGATAAGATAGCATGCAGAAATTATAAAATTAAAAATATGAAACCGTAATTTATGAAAGAAGTGCAATTATGATCTAAAGGGTATCAAAATTTACCAAAAAAAAGCTTAATATTTATTTGTTTACTTTATTAAACATTTCTTTCAACGCGCGCATGCATAAAGCATACATTACGCATAGTCGACATTACAAATTGCAACCAGAAAACTATTTGATGTGTATTCGTGATATTTATAACGACGAGGAATTTGATTTAAATCATATCAAAGACGGAGTACATCGAGATGAAATACTACATTTACTAAGGAATTATATGCTGAATAAAATAAAAACATCTGCCCTGAAGATAAGGATAGTGCTGACAAGTCAACTTTCAGTTCATTGCTCGCCGTGACGTCCCCCCCCCCCTGCAGAGCAGCATGAAATTGATAAACAGATTTCAGAATGGTTAGAGAAACGAAGGACATGCTTTTATCCATTTTTTGCAGCAGTTCCACTTTTTGTTTGATGGACACTGAAACATGTTTTCGCTTTGTAGATCCTTTGGCAACTCCAGAATCGGAAATTCTTTTTGACATAATCGAAAGTTCAAGCTTACTTTTATAAAATTGCTCTAACAGTCTGCAAAAAATAATAAGCCAGATCCAATTAGAAGATTAAGGAACAATGCAATCTGCAACATTAACTGAAATAAATAATTAGATAATTTTAGCTTAACTTATACTGTCCGTTATACATTAAACGCGCATGCGTAAATGTATTATGCTCATGCGTGAAGGTTTTATGAGCATGCGTAATGCGTTTGCGCATCCGCAGAAAGTTTGTAGCTTTGAGGTCCGGATTATAGATCACTCCGGATTATGGACGTCCATATTAAAGACTTTTGACTGTATTTGGTCAGAACCTTTATCAGCCTTTAGAGGCTAGGCATTTTGAAGGGATGAGATGAAAGGAAAGACTGGTTTCATCAAGAGGGCAAACGTCTTTAGATGACATCCATATAGGTCACTGGATAAATTACTGAATCTTCAAATAATTCTCCTGAGAAATCATGCGGTGCTCCGTTTATGATACAATATGATGTAATTTAAATTTATACAACCATATAGTCGAAAACCAGTCACTTTTCACTTTTAATCTGCAGTGATATTGTTTTTGCCTTTTCCGTTAGCACAAACTCAATTGCTGCTATTTGCTGGTGTACACGTCTAAGTGTGTTCTCTTTGAATACCCAACTTCCTTGAAGTAGCTTCCCTTATAAATTTTTGCTCCTCTCCAATTTCCTTCTTTCCTTCTGCATTTGTTTTCAGTGCTGACACAAGAAAATTAAGATTTGTAGATTGTTACACTTCCATAAATTTTACATTCTGGAGATATTTTTTTTTTTTTTTTTTTTTAAATATCAGTTGCATTAAATGTGTTTCAGCTAAGACAGGTTCTAGACATTTTAACCATATATAAAGTTTAAAGCAAAGTCCAAAAGATAAATATTTAAAAGATTTTTGTTAAATGAGAAAGAAATCACTCCAGCAGCACTTATCCTGTACCACCGAGTGACCCAAGTCTTATACTGGGTGCAAAAATCTTAAACATATTATTTAGAGTTTTTAAGCCTAAAAATTTCTATATTAAAGAAGATTTTTTTATATAATCTACAACAAAAGAGATAATTACTACTTAAAATAGTTTTCCTAAGAGGATTAATGTAAAAATTTATATTTATGTATATTTTTTTAAAGCTGAGACATAACACAAACTGTCAACCTGTTTGCTTAAAAACATTGTGAAAAAAACATCAAACGAACTTTTCTCAGCTTTAGACAATTAAATTTAAATGAAGTTAGAGAAAAGTAGCAGACGATAACACAGTGAAGGTAAAAATTTGCTCTTACTAATATTTTTTAAAAAAAGAGAAAAAAGAAAGAAATTTTTTTAAAGTAAAAAATTTGAATAATATCATCTATAATTTGAAAAAATAACTTTTCATATAGTATGATTTAATTTGGTACTATTCAGTTTCGAGGGCCGTAAAAAAATTGCAGCGAAAATGTATGCGGGAAAGCACCAAATCTAGCAAACACGTCCATTTAACAGCGTGCCAAATCTCGCATACGCGCTGATTTCAGATTGTGTAAGTTTATATAGTTCTATATTTCTTAAGACGCCATTGAAAAACCAGTTTAATTTTTAATTCCTTTTTTGATATCCAATTGATTTAACAATTTGGGAATTTCCTATGATGAAAAGTCTGCGATAGAATTTTGGGTAAAGTGCAGAATCGCCCACTGCTTGACATGTTTTTAAGAATTACACATACTCGGTAGCCATGTATACATCGACTTATTTTCACTTAAAAAAAATCCCAGAATTGCACAAAAATGGCACTGCGCACACACTTGACTTTATCTATGTACACATCGACCTATTGCCACTTAAAAAGTAAAAGAAAATTGACCAAATTCCAATTGTTTTTACCCTTGTAAAAAGGCGGCAAAGAAATAAGCGGGCGATTCTGCCCTTTATTGAAAATGTTTTCAAAGGAAAGGCATCATTCATTATAGAAAATTATGTTTGAACAGCCAACGAGATGATATTATGCTTTAGTGATAACTTGGTAGAGAAATATTATATGAAATTAAACTTTCATCTAAATTAAAACATCAATATTTAAATAGTTGTTTACTGTTAGGGTTGCCGCAATTACTTTTGGCAGCACTGGCATCAACAATAGTTTGGCGATTTTTTACGGCCCTCGAAACCGAATAGTACCATAAATATTTATTATGCATCATTGAGGGAAAAATTTCATATAATTAATTCTCCGTAAAACTTTATGTGAAATTTAATGTCAAAAATAGCTGTGGCAATTCACTGTAACAAAATCCATAAATCACATTTGGCGTTATTTATCATTAAAAAAAAATGCCAAATTTCAAACCACGCAAATATGTTAATTCATGTATATCTTAGAAAAATTTGAATAAAAAGTCTAATTTTTTGCAGGTGTGCTTAGAACTACACCTACTTTAAGATGATGGTAAAAATTTATAGGTTACAATTCAAAATGTTTTCAAAAATTTATAAAAATTATTTAAAATACAAATTTTAAAATTTAATCATAAAAATGGGTGAATTTTATTTTGGAATGAACCTAAATTTTGAAATGTGAAAAGAAGAATAAAAAAAGTTTAATAAAAATGAGATATTAATAATTATATACCAAATTTAATTAACATTGAGGAGCTAAAATTTTGAAAGCCTATTTTTTAAAAACTACTTGTGTGTTTTTATAAAACTTGGGTAGTCTGGCATAATTTGAGTCATAGAATCAAAATATGGAAAAAAAATAGCATGTCATTTTGAATTCAAAGTCCAATTTTCTGTCAAAACACCTATGTTAGAATGATGCTATATATAAATCTAATATATATCTTAAGTCGCACTTTCAAGACATGAAAAATGTAATTTGAATTTCGTCAATCGGCCTAGTAGAATGGGAGATATAAAACTCTCTCCCCCTCCCCTTTTTTTTTTCACAGTAAACATAAATTTTAAAGGGACTAAATACGCTTTTCCTCTTTTCACACTTTTGCATAACAGATTTATTTCAAGCACTTTCCTAAACTGAATAAATTTCAGATTTTTTGAAACACTTTGATTGTGATGCTCTTAAAAAAAAAAAAAAAAAAAAAAAAACAATAGAATCATTTTTGCAAATCAAGAAATTCACAAACAGCATACAAACAATTCTAGCACATACAAAACCTGAAAATTCATAAATGTAAATAATGAAAATAACTATACTGTTAGTAACTGGAATTTTTCTTGTTTGTTGTTGCTTGATTTAAAAAAATAATATTTAAAAATTACTTACTTTCCCAACTTCGGATTTGGAATGTTGTTGGCCTTTTAATCCAGGAGGTAATTGCTCCTACAGTAGAAAAAAAAAAAAGTTCAAGAACCTAAAATAGCAAATTTTCATCAATTTAATGGCTACAGTACTAAATATTGTGAAACGAAAGAAATTAAATCATTTAATTATTCAAACACAGTTTGTATATTTAATGGAATACAGCAAAATATATGATGGCTATCTATTCAAGAAAAAAAGATAACTTCTTGACAGATTTCTTAGGGAAAGCAGGTTTGTATTCATATTATAACTGGAGAAAATTATGAAAACACCTATACAGCAACCCATCACTATCAGGCCTATGCCAAACTAATAGTACTCAGCAGTCTTATCCACTCAAGCACTGGAAAGTTTCTAATATACAAAAACATTTTTATGGGCGTATGATATTTTCTTGTTAGTTTCACAAAAGTTATTTCATGTTCTCTTTTGATATTAACTATTCAGAGAAATGTTTAATTTGTTAAATTTATCAATTACACGGTTACTGTATTATAATTATAAATTTGATAAACTATCACTTAAATAATGTAAAAAACAATGAATATTTTAATAAAAGAAATACTATACTTCTGAACATGTTTTGACAGAACAATCTTGAATAGCACACCTGCTATCATCAGGCCAATACGGACAATTCCGATTTAAGTTAACCTGAAATAAGAGAATGAACCTGTATAATAAATTTATAACTATTTCAATATAAATTAGTAAATACACTAATTTCACATAATTGCAAATATTTAGAATATCTGCAAACACCTGTCCCCCCTTCTTTTTTTTATGATTTGCTATTTAAATTTACTATCTTAATATTTTTTGATAAACATTTCCATATGAAATATATCTATTAAAAATTCAGAATATGTCAGTTGTAAAAAAGGGCTTTAATTGTAAAATTTTATAACATGATATATTTAAACTTAATTTATTTGAGTTTTTATTATGATCATTTTAGAGATATCAGTTGATCTTTGGATTATGGTAACTTGGTGATATTTTGGCAAAAATTTGGCGACCAACTCTGCTACAGCAACCCTCTATTTTTTTTTTTTTTTTTGTGCCGCCATTTTGTCTTTACGAAGTAAAGACATGTTTCTTTTCTTTTTATTTACTGAACACTTTTTCCAACAATCTACTAGCCAAATTACACTTATACTAGAAATTTTATCTAACAAAACTGCTTAATCATGACAAATATTCACTGCAAAATTGGGAAAAAGTGCACAATCGGAAACTCCTTGCACGTTTTTCACAATAATACATACACATAAACCATGTACATGTCGACTTATTTTTACTTAAAAAAACATCCCAGAATTGCACAAAAATGGCATTGCGCAACACTCTTCACACTATATCCATGTACACTGCTTTTTTTCTCATAAATTAGAAAAAATTCACGAAAATGCATGACAATTTTCTGAATCTTTAAACCCGGTAAAAGAACATATATGAAATTACCTTATCGCGAAAAAGTATATACCCTTTCCAAATATGAACATTTCCACGTATAAAATAAATAAAATATCTAAAAACTTTTACCTCTAAATTATCTATTATATTATAACATCACCAACGAATTCATACCGCAAACATTACATATACTTAGTGTCAAATATTTAAATTATTTCCATGCACGTTTACTTCAACTCAAACGTATACCAAATTCCTACAAACATAAAATTCACAAAATAACTATCATTTAATTAAAATATCACTAAACCATATACACGTTGACTTATATTTACTTTAAAAAAAAATCCCAGAATTGCACAAAAATGCCATTGCGCACACTCTTCACTATATCCATGTACACTGCTTTTTTCTCATAAATTAGAAAAATTTCACGAAAATGCATGAAAATACTCAACATATACTACTCAAGCATATTCCAAATACTACAAACATATAACTCACAAAATCACGATCATTAAATTAAAATATAATTAAATTAAAAATATAAAATATAATTAAATTAATAATATCCTCAAATGATTAAAAATACTAACTTGCCTAATCTTCTTCAGAATACGTCGCTGCAGTACTACTGCTAATTTCTAAATCCTAAATCCAGTAGTCAACTGGAAGTCTATTCACCAAGTAATAAGAAATTAATAAAATTTCACCTATACTCAAACTACTTTCAGCAAACCACGTACCCTTCCTTACACTCTTTTCACAAAATGTCCATTTTCACACCCATATTTCTTGCATGGCCATTTAAACTTCTAATATCCTTCCTTTCACACAATCTCAACTTATTATTATAGAATAAACGCATTCAAATTAGAATTCACTTTACATAGCGCCATGCAATCCGAAATTAATCAACACTATTTCACACAACACACAATGAAGCTTTCCAAATAACCCCCTTTTCCGATTAAGGACTGTAATTCGTCCATTAATGTCCGTTTCACACAACACAGAATATAGCTAAATACGAAATTTCTAGATTTCCCCCTTTTCCGATAAAACACTGTAATTCGTCCCCAAATGTCACATGACATATCTCATGCTCTCTCATTTCCCTCACACAAAAATGCGTAATCGGCTGATGCTTCTCACATATACCAAAGTCCTAGGTAGTAACCTTTATCGTCTCCAAAATGTCGCCAACTACCAGTTCATATCCAAAGATCAGCCGAGAATCTTTAGATAAATTATGAGAGTCTTAAATCAGATTTGATTATTTTTTTTACACAGAGCTCAACAATTCATACGTTATAAATTTTGTCCTATTAAATCACTTTTCAAACAATTTTTTGTATCTTATTTAAGTTGTTAATTTAAGCAAGTTTGATACATTTATCATCATTTTTTACCATCATTTAAAATGAATAAATTTCACTAATTACAGCACTACATTAAAAAAAAAGAAGGAAGATATAAATTTATATATGAATTTTTTCTCTATTAGATTATTAACTTACTCATACTTTTGTCTCAAATTTAATCCATTTAGGAATCTTGGTTTAATTTGCTACTAAAATAAGGTCATTAAAAACAAAAATTTATTAAAGATTATAGTTCACAGTTTACGAAACCTGAAACAAATAAGCAGTAGACTATACATAGAACTAGATTAAGACTTCTAGAAACTTTAAGCATTTAAAAGATTTCGGTGCCCCCACATACATTTACAGTAAATATAATGCTTGTTTCTTTTCCCTCTTTCTCTCTTGCCCTTGGTTGAGCTACGTGGTAAAACCAACAATGCCTTTTGTGGTGTCCCTAAGTGCCTTGTATATATATTCAATACAGGTAAGGTAAATAGATAAAACTAAGAAAAATAATAATAAAAGTAACTTCTAAAACTTCATCAATTCAAAATATTTAAAAACTTAAATCTTTTCAAGATAAAAGAATTTACAAAAAAAGCTTACTTTGATATATCGAAAAAAATCTGTAACTAAAAGGCTACGTAATATAGGATAAATCTTCACATTGTTAAAGTAATCAACAGTATCAATATTGCAAGAGCAGTCATCAATTTGGCCTTTAAGCTGTAATAAAGAAAAAACACAATTCAGAATATAATAGTGAATAAAGATCAGCAATGAATAAAGTATATCATAAAAAAAAAAGAAACTGGTTTCCTCTGACATAATAGTATACAAATAATGATTACAAAAACGGACAATACAAAAGTCCAGTAATGTTTTATGATAGAGTAATATATTTTCATATAATAGCCAAAGCTTATTCACATAGCAATAACCAAAGCCAATCCATAGATCCACATACTACAAGTACATAATTTATTTGGTACAAAACCCAGCAAGTAAAGAAAGACTGTTTTAAAGAAATTTTGATCATTCCAGAACAATATACAATTGTTAAAAAAATAGAAATATCAGCCTTATAAAGTTTTATTTTTTCTCATAAAATTCCTCATTTTTTTTACATGCTTCTTTTTATTATTATTATGGATGAACAAAACTGTACATATGCTCTGCAAAGATTATCCAAAAAAGATTTCACCACCAATTTGGTAACTTTTCATGGAGGTACAGATAATATGAAAATATCAAATTTCTTCAGAAATTTTGTAATAAATGAAACTCTTCTAATAAATAAAAAAAATCACTAGGATAGTGCTAATAACTTTTCTGATATTCCATGTATTCAGTATTACTAATTCCTGTTTATTTAGTAACCACAGCATTAAGAGAATTCCTTCCAGCAATCTGTATAATATTAAATAAATATCCTTCTTGTACAGCCACAGCATACGTCTTCTCCTCCAAGGTGACATTTCTCCAGTTCTCTTCACAGGAGAATGAACACGCACTTCAGCACTTGCTTAAAATTTTCTGATGCAATCACACTGTTCAAAAACTCCTGATGAGTACACAGCATAATGGTTGCAACAGTTTCTGATTTTGATACAATAGTTCATGATTATGATGCAATAATTCATATATATTTCTAAAATTCTATTATACAACAAAATATTTTGGGTAAAGTGCAGAATTGCCCACTTATTTGTTTGGCGCTTTTTACAAGAATTGGATTTTTGTCAATTTTCTTTGACTTTTCAAGTGAAAATAAGTCAATGTGTACATAGATAAAGTCAAGGGAGTGTGCAATGCCATTTTTTGTGCAATTCTGGGATTTTTTTTTTTTTTTTTAAGTGAAAATAGGTCGATGTGTACATGGATATCGAGTATGTGAAATTCTTAAAAACGCGCCAAGCAGTGGGTGATACTGCACTTTTCCCAATATTTCTCCCCCCAAATGTATGGTTAAAAAAAAAATGCAGAACATTTCTGTACAAAATATATAAGTTATAAACAAAGTCTCTATACAAAATGCAAAATTTAAAAATTTTTCAAAACAAATAGCACTAAATACATAGCAACAACAATATTTCATACTAATAAATACTCAAAACATGTTCAAGATAATCAAAAATTAAGTTTTTGAAAAGAGATTTATTTAATGCACGCATGTAACTTTTCGTTAATATGATACAAGATGAAATTCAGAATTTTACGTATTCACAACTGTTAATTCCGATTAATAAAAATGAACAGAAATTCAAACTACAAAAACTAGGTTCAGTGGTACATATATCACAATACATTTAAAAGGCAGAGGAATAGCCAAAAGGTAACATTAAAGTTACATGAACTGGTTAAAAATTACGAACAAATAAATATATCATTTAATATTAGAACTTACTTTGCAGAAACAACCTTCACCACCTGATGTTTCACTGTTGCAATATGTTAAAATATGAAACAGAATTGAAAATATACAAAGAAAAGGAAATGCCGTCATTTTTTGCATTGCAAAATTTATAAACATGTTGAACACGGAAATGCTGCAAGCTCATTGTTTCAACACATATTTCCTGTTAAATTCATTTAAATGTCATTATAACATACACATACGTATAAGAAGGAAGAAGAGAGAAATGCCATATGATATTTCCCATAATATTACAGGTGGTTTATATATCCCGCAACATATCAACACTGACGTGTCATTACGAGGATTTTATACCATTAGCAGACAGACATCATATAAACTTCTGCACCAAGCGGTTGTCATGGTGCGCATCACATCAGTTCTTTCTTACCACAATCTGAGGCTTAACAATAGCTGATCAAGAAGCAACTCCAAAAATTTATTTTTCGCCCCCCTGTTATTTTTGTTCAAACATCTATTAACTAAAACATATATCTGCATTCAGTGTAAAATAAACGAACTGCATGATTTGTACTGAGAGAACATAGACATAGAATAACAAAATATTTAACAAGTCACGCAGAGCAGCCACATAAATGTGTAACTATGTTATGTACACTGCGAGAAAAAACGAAATTCAAATTGCTTTTGTATGTCTCGAAAGCGCGACTTAGCATATATATTACATTTATATATCCGCGATTCCAGCGCTCTGATACGCCACCTAGAGGCTAAAAGGTGGAAACATTAAAAATCGGTATTTACGTTTGGAAATGCTACGCATTCCGAGGTGGGACGGCGTTCGAGGTAGACGTCTTATCGCTTCGCTCTCCGTTTCCTTGAGTTGCTACCACCCCCGCTACTGTACCGAGTTCATCGACCTCGCCTCACGGGCTCTGGGTTGTTTTCTTTTTTGGATCTCGCTTCTCGCAGAAAGCGTCGCCTTACCTCCACTGATGCATCCTTCGCTGGATAAAACAGGTCATGTTTTATTCTTTCTTTTGATTCTCTTTATTCACCGTGCTGATAAGGGTACCTTCGGGTACGGCCTTTAGTTAGGCCTTTTTCCAACTTTTGGCCTCACATGATTAATCAATATGACACAACAAAACACAAATGTAATTAATTATATCACATAAACATGGAAAATTCATTTCCAAACTCAGAAAATCCTCACACGAGACATCTCAATGATGAACCCAACGTTCTCCAAATATTAAGTCACAAAACTTTATCCAATGACGTCGAAACTACCAGATCCTTGGTGGAAGATATCCAAGATATCCGTAACGACCCAAATGTGATTATGTCCGCTAGTGATAAAAAAGAACTAAACTTTCTCCTTGTAAAAGCAATTAATCAACTGCGTATGCAGGAAAACGAGATGGCCAATGCAAAAATAAACGAATTACAAACCTCTAACGAAAAGCTCGCTAAACAATTTGAAGAGATTAAAAACTTCTGCGACATACTTCAATCCACTAGTGGTTTCAAAGAAAAAGAAAATTGCGCCATAGACAAACGGATTCTGACTCCGATGAGGAGCCTTTCCTCAAAACCAGCAATCGATATGAACAATCAGAGAACCAAATAGACGACAAGCATTTGGACAACAAAGATGAATCAGCCACTCAGCTCACTACCACCCCAAAAGACCAACCAAACAAAAGTGACACCATTCCCGCAAATAGAAAGCTAAACTCCAGCCCCAAAACAAGCAGAATTGATAAAGTGGCAATTATTGTCGTAGATGACGTACCAAAAGCGGATGAATTCTTAAAAAACTTAAACAAGCAAACCGGAAAAGAGATAACTGGCACCTTAAAAGAACGCCGCCTTGAAATACAGCCTGCAGACTCTGACTCACATCGATTCATTCGCAAAATAGTCGAAGAAACAAAGCTTAAAGCCCACACCTACTTATTGCCCGAAGATAAAGTTTTAAAAGTCATAATAAGAGGCTTACCCATCACCACAGATCCCCAAACCATCACTCAAGAACTTCTTGACAAAGGATTTAAGGTTAACTTTATTACACTTTTAAGAAACAGAAAAGAAAATAAACCAATGCCGCTTTTCTTAATACATATACCAAAATCAGAAGAAAATAAGGAAATATTCAAAATCAAATTATATGAACGTAACAATAGAATCATTACGCAAGAAACCTGGCCCTCCACAATGCTATAGATGCCAGGGATCTTTTCACAGTTCCCTGCTCTGCACCAGAGACTGGCATGCTCCGTTGCGGAGGCAATCACAAACCTATAGAATGCACCCGTAGCCGCGACCAGCCAGCATATGTTATCACTAGGTCCTCACCCAGCAAACTTCTCAAATTGCCCGGCCAGACGAAAAAACAAACAAGTTCAGTTCCAACCCAGTCCTCCACCAGCAACCAATCCCTGGACTAACAGGAGGACAGGACTTTCCTCCGCTGACATCAAAACAGTAACGAAAATATCGCTCAAACCTCCATTCAAACGAATTCTAACAGAAGAAACTACCAGCACCGCAGAAATCCTCCCTGTCAGACCTCTTTGACTTCTCTTCGCTAAAAACAATCTGGACAATAATGATACAAGGACTCAAAAACATTAAAACCAAGAAATCACCTCTTGATAAAAAATTCGCAGTAGTCGAAGAACAGATGCAACATAAAAATCCTCTCTTGAACGCTAACGGTCTTTACCATAAAAAAAGATGAATTATCCAACCTCATTATTGAAATTTAACCGACGTAATACTCATACAAGAATCACCACCAGCACTCAAGTACTTTTCTAATTATATTCCGTACGAATCGGAGACAGGAGAGGGGTGGAAGGAAAGGACAAAACACGTTTCCTCCAGCACCTAAAGTAAAACAATGAATGTAAGAACAAAAATTCAAAATTTGAATATACAGTCGGTCACAAAAGTATTCGAACACCGGTACCCTATCAGAAAATGACAAGATGGCGTTTTTTTTTCTCTTTCTCTCTGTGTGTCGTGTTATTCCATCCTAGGTTTTCTTCTCCCCCCATCTTGGAAAAAACTGGAAAAAATTGGTCACGATCTCTTTTTGAATGGGGAGATGCCATTTTGAGAAAAAGCTGACGACCCTATCTTGGAGAATGAACATGACCGCTCTACACACCCTTTCTCTCTCTCTCTCTCTCTTTGAATTGGGAAGCCATTTTGGGAAAAAAGCAGACGACCCTATCTTGGAGAATGGAAATGAACGCCTCTCCCTCTCTCTTTGAAATGGGAAGCCATTTTGGGACCCTCTATTCTTGGGGAGGGAGAAAAGAAAACTGAAGTCTGCACTTTCGCTGTCTCTGAATGCGGAAAGCCCTTTTGGGAAAAGCGGACCCTCTTCTTCTGATCTTGGAGAACTGGAAATGAACGCGCTCTACACGATCTCTCTTTGAATTCAGAAGGTATTTTGGGACCTTCTAATGTTGGAAAACTGAAATGAACGCTCTACGCATTTTCTCTCTCTCTCTCTCTCTTTGACATGAGTAGCCATTTTGGAGGATTCTCCACCACCATCCTAACCTTGGAAAACTGAAATGAACGCTCTACACCTTCTCTCTCTCTCTCTCTTTCTCTGAAATGGGTAGTCATTTGAAAACTCCCTAACTTTGGAAAAAAAACAGAAATGAACGCTCTACACCATCTCTCTTTGAAAATGGGGGGGTGTCATTTTGAGACCTCCCTCCCCTAAACTTGGAAAACAAAAACTGAAATGAACGCTCTACACTTTCTCTCTTTGGACATGGGTAGCCCTTTGGGGACCCTCTCCTCTTGGTAGGAAAAAAAAAGAACTGAAGTGAAGGCTCTACACAATCTCTCTTGGAATGGGATCCATATTTCGGGAAACGTGGATCACCTCATGCTGGAAAACTGAAGTGAACCACCAAGATTGGACTCTATATAATATTTTTTTTTAATTGACATCATGACCCTCCTCCAATTTGTTATTAAAAAAATTGTTTTTTTTGTTTTGGTTTTTATCCCATTTCCGATGTGATTTCAGAAATGCAATTCCATAACAGTTCAATTTCATTCGAGGTTAAATGATCTAAACAGTCTTTGACCCACCCATCCGTATGATTATTTTCTTCTCCTTCCTGTTGCACCAAATTTTGTAAGTCCATATAATCATTCCATACGGGAAGGGCTGGATCCTCACAAGGCTGTCTTGAAACACTTGGAGTCTCTTTGGGATGAGTGGAGGGATCTAGGATGTCTGGACCCGGCTGCGATTCTACCTCCATGATTTCTGGACCCGTTGGAACTTGTTTACCCGGCTGAAATTCTACCTCCATGATTTCTGGACCCGTTGGAACTTGTGAACCCGGCTGTGATTCTGCCTCCATGATTTCTGGACCTGTTGGAACTTGTGGACCCGGCTGACATTCTACCTCTACGATGTCGGGACTTTTTGAAGCTTGTGGACCCGTCTGACATTCTACCTCTACGATGTCGGGACAGGTTGGAGGAGAAGAAGAGAAGAAGAAGAGGATACTGGAAGAGGTTCTGTCTGTGAGGAGTCCGAAAGAGGTTGCCTGTTTGAACAAGTCGGGGAAGAAGAAGAAGAAGAAGAAGCTTCTGGATTCTGAAGCGGATCTTGCACGCCAGGTAGGTTCCGGTAAGTCGACCGTTTTTTAAGAGGTAATTTTTTTTCTTCCTCCTCCTCATCTTCAATTGTGATGACTTCAATTTCATTCCGTTGCCGGGTCGATTTTGTTTCGGGAAATAACGGTTTGGTCCAGCTCCTCTTATCATCTAAGGAAGGGATGGGTAAAGGTGGCGGAGGGTTTTCTTCTTCTTTTTCTTGAAACATCATCGGCGATTGGAAAGAAATCTCCTCTTTCAATTGTTTCCAAAGCGAGTACGAGCACCGATCGACGAGAAAGAGACTCTTCTGGGTTGTGACGATGAGATATTGCGTTTTCGGGGGAACGACATAGTTTTGAAAAGGTCTTAGAATATATTTCTTATATTTCATCCTGTCGCTGACTTTAAAACTTCTTTCCTTCAGATTGGGGGACGATGATTCGTAATAGGCGAGAGGAGCGGCTGTGGTTTGAACAATATGAACTTCGTCCTCAGCCGTCGTTCTCACTCCAAACGTAAAATATCGTTTCGTGAGAAAAATATTCTTCCACCGAAAACTCGTGCGCGGATCTGTATATCGCCGGTCTGTTTGAATGGGCCGTCTCAAAGCTCGATCCATCCGATTCCAAGAGAAGGGAGATTCCTCTTTCGTTTGTTGCGATTCGAATAAATTTCTGTATATATTCTGAACGAGCAGGTTGGAGGATTCGACATCTTGGTTGAAAGAAACGATCGCTTGATGAGGTGGTA